AAACACATTTAACTCAAAAAAAAAAAAAAAAATAGGTGGGCCGGGCACGGTGGCTAATGCCTGTAATCCCAGCACTTTGGGAGGCTAAGGCAGGTGGATCATGAGGTCAAGAGATCAAGACCATCCTGGCCAACATGGTGAAACCCCATCTCTACTAAAAATACAAAAATTAGCTGGATGTGGTGGTGCACACCTGTAGTCCCAGCTACTTGGGAGGCTGAGGCAGGAGAATCACTTGAACCCAGAAGGCAGAGGTTGTGGTGAGCCGAGATCATGCCACTGCACTCCAGTCTGGCCACAGAAGGCGACTCTGTTTAAAAAAAAAAAAAAAATAGGTGAAGGTAGTTATTTTTCACCAAATCTGTTCAAAGGATGTTCTGATTTTCAGCTCTAATTTTTCCCATGTAAGATCCAATTTTTAAACTTCTGCACTTTTCAAAAGTATTAATTAGAAGTTTCCTATATGTTCATCAAAACTTCACATCTTTCCTCTCATAAATGAAGTTAAAGTTCAGCTTTTTCTTTAATATTTTATATGGCCCTAGAGATGGCTACTCTAAATTTGCTCACTGTCATGTCCCCTGTTGCCCTCTGGTAAGAACATATGCTCACTGATCCTTTACCTACCAGAGGTCGTTGATGTAATGAGCAGCAAGGGCCCCATACAGACTCCCAGTTTGTGATTCTCCTAGAAGTCTTTAACAGCCAGAATCAAGGGACACCAGAAAAGTCACTTTAAGAATTGATAATTCAAGAAATGAAATACAGGGCTTTATAAATTTTAAATGAAGAGAAACCCATGTTAGGTGAACTTGATAAATATATAGCAAATAAGAGAATAGATAAGAGAACAAATATTCTTGGATATACTGACAGTATTATTTTACCATGAAAGCCACTGATTGTTTTCAATGGACAATTGAAACTCATTTCTAATGACACGAAAAATACTTGCTCCAACTGAATCTGAAAGTATGATCTTTGAATGCCATTTCTATAATCCAAATATTCTATGTTTAAAGGGAAAGGAAGCTATAGGATGAGAGTGTTTTAACTGAGCATTTATTTTGCCAGTCCTTGTAATATGTATTTTCCAGTTATTATTTTATTTAATCCTTACATTCTGCCAGATAAGTATTACTCTACTTGTTGATGGAAATAAAGCTCAGAGAGGTTGAGAATATAGCCAAAAATTGCACAGCAATGGTAAGACATTTTAGATTGTTGCAAAGTTAAAAAGAGATTAGAGAAATTCATCTGTTTAGTGTGTGTAGATGTTTGTGTGTGTGTGCATGGGTAAAATAATTATCCTGTGTTCAGAAGCCTCCTGGGAAGTACTTTTAAGGTTATTAATGGTTTTGCAAAATCAAAGCAAGTGGGTAGGTATTAGTGGTATGGAGAAGACAAAGCAGAGCACTTAGTGGTTTAGAGTATTTTGCTCTTGGAAAAAAGTCAACAATCTGTATGTTCTCACTCATAGGTGGGTGTTGAACAGTGAGAACACATGGACACAGGGAGGGGAGAATCACACACTGGGGTCTGTTGGGGGGAAATAGGAGAGGGGCAGCAGGGAGTGGGGAGTTGGGGAGAGATAGCGTGGGGGGAAATGCCAGATACAGGTGATGGGGAGGAAGGCAGCAAATCACACTGCCATGTATGTGCCTATGCAACAGTCTTGCATGTCCTTCACGTGTACCCCAAAACCTAAAATGCAATTAAAAAAAAGATTGAGTGGCCCCGACATGACATATGGAGAGCTGTGAAATGACAGGAGTCATTGCACCAGAATAGCAGATGGAATTCTCTTCCAAGTTGGCTCCTGGTTGAACAAGTGGAAGAAAGCAACATTTTCAAAAGCCCGGTGGATACTGGTGCTGCTGACATAAATCAAACAACAGTATATCAAGTGGTAACAAATAGAAAATATATGTGGAGATATTTGTCTTTTCAAACACATGGCACAAGACCAAAACCAAGTAACTGTTACTGGAATCATCATTGAAAATTAGGGACATAAATATTTCAAATAAATAAATAATACATTCATTTTTTTTTCATTATTAAACTGGTGTTTTTATAACTACTTCACAACCAGAACACCTAAACTCTGGATGCTGAAATGACACTCATAAGGCAACACAAAAATTAAGAGAAGGACATGGGAACTCCCTGACAATGACGTACAAGTTTGTTTCATCTGGCATTTGCCAACTTGAGTTCTCATGGAATTAGATTAAGTAAATATCTGAGAACTCCTCAGGCTGTTCTCCATGGGTTTCTACTGTTAGATTGTTTTGAACATGACATCTTTCCTCTTAACTCACTCTAACTAGAACATCGTCTAAGATTATTGTTACTCACAGCTGGAAAGGTTAAGAGGGTCAAGATGCCTGAGACATGCGGTTTTTCTCATAGATGTCACAAACGATCTATGAGAATTAATTTGCATTAGCTCTCCAACTAAATAGAATGTGTGTCTCAACTGCTGCCTCCCCTCCCAGACACACATGTGTAGAACCCACACATAACACACAATGCTTAGGGCTATAGAATTGCCTACATGCATGAGTCTAAAATACATTCCTAGAATTAGATTTTCTTAGTTAAACAATTTTGTCGTTTTAAAAATCTTGAAAGGGTATAACAGTTTATACCTCTTGTACGTGTGTGTATGTGCGTGTGTGTGTTTGCTTGTGCATATGTGTATGTGCGTGTGTGTGTGGTATATTCCTGTTTTGTTCTGTTCATATGATGTATAAAAATGATGACTGATTTTGAAAATATAAACCAACCTAGCATTTCTGAATAAACTTTACTTGGTCACAATGTATTGTGCTTTACATATATTGTTAGATTTGATTTGCTATTTTGTTAAGGATTTTGCGTCTTCAGCGTATTTATGAGGGATATCTGTATGTAGCTCTATTTTATTTAGATATATATTTCTGGTTTAGAATCAGGATAACACTGGTCTTATTGAAGTTGCAGTGTGTTCTATTCTTGATTTTCTCAAAGGATGATATTGATATTACTTCATTCTTCATTGTATAAAGTTTACCAAAAAGCAATCTGAAGTTTTCTTTGTGAATCAGTTTTCACTTACAAATTTAATGCTTTTAGTTGATAAAAGGCTGCTCAGGTTTTCTGTTTCTTCTTCCAGCTTTGGCAATCTGTGCCTTTCCAAAAGTTTGTCCATTTTGTACAGTTTGCCAAGTTATTGTCATAAAGTTGTCAAAATATTATTCTTCTAATCCCTGAAGCATCTGTAATCATGACTCTTCTTTCATTCCTAATATTGGTAAATTGGTCATTCATGACTTCTTGTTCTTTTTTTTTTTTTAGCCAATCAGGAGCAATTCCTTTGAGCGAACAGAAAGAGGGCCAGGTAGAGCTGTCTGATTGCAGTGTAACTCTGACCCAGAAAGAAGGAAAAAGGAAAAGAAGGTTGGGGAAGTCTCACAGTCTAAGGAAAGTTTGAAAAGTTTGAAGGTTTAGCAAAGTCATCAGGGAGTTATTAATCAAAAACCAACTGGCAGAAGAGACCCATTTGTGCCCCAAGTAGCGAGTCTTAGCGATCAGTCATGAGCTAGGTGCAGCCCGCAGGAACTGTGGCTTCCCTTGGTGTGATCATGGAGATTCAACTAGCAGCAACTAAGCTCCCTATAGAAAGAAGGCTGGAGGCACATTCTTACAGCTGCCGTATTCTCTCCTGTGCGTTCTTAACATCCTACATTCTCAGTGCCTTCCTGACTACTCCAGCTCATGAAGATGGCCAGGCAGTACTTACTGATTGAATGAATCCACTGCATTCCTTAGCAGTTAATAGTCTCTGGCTTACATTTGTCATTTGCCGTAGAAAGAATTACCTTGTATTCTAGTTCTGTTTTTATGTTTATATATCCAGGTCATACTGAAAGCCCTGCTTCATCAGGATTATTTTTGACTACCTCAGAAACTTTATTAATTTGTTGGTTAGCAGTGTTCCTAGGTATGCGCAAAAGGGAAATAAAAATAAGATTATGGTAACTTCCAGCAATAATTTACTTAAAAATAAACAGCTTAAAGTTATTAAGGGCATGACATGAAAAATGTCACCTATCTATTTATTCAACAACGAATACTTATTGAGGATCTGTTGTGTGCCAGGCATATGCTCAGTGAGGGCATCATGGTAATGAATAAGACCTGTAAGCCAGTTGCCATTTTGCTTATAGGTTTTTAAGACAGACACACAATAAACACGTAAGTACATAAGCAAATATGTAGAAGCATTAGGGTTGGAAATGTACCAAATGATAGCCCCCTGAAATTTTATTTATTCTGCGTAATTGGTTGGTATCAGGAAATTGAAGCATGCTCATATACAAGATAAGCTTAAGATAAATTATCACAAAATTCTAAGTTGAGAAATCAATAAATAATGGTCACATTTTCCTTCCAGATAGAGAAACCAGGCTGTCTTAGAACGTTGCCAGAATTGCATCTGTCACAGAGCTTTGCATCGTACATGAGATAGAGATATCTCTAAAGCTTTAATAGAATCAGATTGATTTATTAATTTATTTACTCAGTCTGTTTTTCACGTTTCATTACTTAGTTCCTGGAAACACAAAGGTGAAGAAGACATATTCCGTCTTCATAATTGTTTAACCACGAGTGAATCTAGTACCTCGTGTTTATTTGCAGTATATTACCCTTTTCCAACTATGTCAGTTCTTTAACAGCTTTATATACAATGCCAGCAACAAGCCTGGTGATGGGGAATTATAAACGAATAAACTACACTTTTCTCAGCCTCAAAATCTGTCTGAAATTAGGTAACAGTTCTAACAGAAAATGTTTATGAATCTCCTGTGGATATCTTATACAACTTTACATTGAAGTCTGAAGAAAATCAAGCTTTCAGTTTATAATTGAAAAATGTCTCCACGTTAGTTATACACAGTTTACTTTGGAAAACAGATATAGTAGATATGAAATAGTTTTTGTTTTTCTTTTAGGAAAGTCTTAATAGACATCGATACTTGAATTCTTTATTTCCCAGTGAAAACTCGACCGCCTTCTATGGAATAAATCAGTTTTCTTATTTGTTTCCTGAAGAGTTTAAAGGTATGGTCCAATAGTGCTATTGGGTGATTTCCTGATTTTGACTTGCTTGTTTAACTTTTGATAAATATTTAATTATAAATCTAATAAATTGAGTAATAGTTAACATTTATGAACTATTTACCTACTACGTGTCAGGCATGTACTATGTGCTCACATAAAAAAATAAATTCACGGACACTCTCTTCTAATTATTGCTTAAGAAACATATTATAATCGTGAACATTTCCATTTAGCTATAAAGGACAACTGTCTAATCACTTCTGCAGTTTTCTAGTGCTGTTTCTGTTCAGGACACACATGGTTCCATGGGTTATAATAGAACCAATGACATCATTTATACTCATTTTTATTAATGACCTGGTTCTATCAAACAAGTCATTTTATGTATCAGCTCCAGCCTTATTGTAGGAATTCTCTTTTGTAGTCATCAATGAATGCATTTTATGTTATACAAAAGCACAAAGGCAAATCTAAAACGGCAGGTCTAGTAGGCTACCATTTCCTCTCAAAAAGTTTCTCCCGAGGAATCCCAAGAGTCCCCCTCCCCATAATATAATAATGGTTGTCTTTTCATTTTATGTTTCTACTCAGCCATTTATTTAAGAAGCAAACCTTCCAAGTATCCCAGATACTCAGCAGAAGTACATATGTCCATCCCCAATGTGTCTTTGCCATTAAGATTTGACTGGAGGGACAAGCATGTTGTGACACAAGTGAGAAACCAGCAGATGGTAAGTTTAATCCCTTTTCTTTTTAAGTCATCTAAGCATTGAAAGGCACCTCTGAGATCAAACTTGTAATGGAACCCATAATTTCTCCAGAAAAATCACACCTTGGTCATCCAAAAATGACAATGAAAGGAGAATCTCTGGAGGAATGGGAGGCAAATGTCAAAGCCCTGACTTTTATTCCTGAAGATAAACCTTCCTTGCTGTATTCTCTTACTAACTGCCATTGCCACCAACACACTCACTCAGGGATACTTCCCAGTAGCTGAATCACAGATGCCAAGCTCTCTGTACAGTAGCAGATAGAAGGCTGAAGAAGGGAAACATGAGCACTAAAGGCTTAAATGGTTCAAGGAAAAAAAGTGAAAAAGTAAAACTAAAATGGATAAATTTACCAACAGTGTGGCCAGATCTTCTGGGTTCTCAAGTCTGATCTTGCAAGCTCTGTCAGAAAACCTGCCCCAACTTCACAGGATGGTATATCTTTTAATCTGTAGGCCTTAAAACTATAGTCAGTAGTCAATTCAGCTATAACGTGACACATTCATTCCAGAAAATCACTGCCTATGCAGAATTGAGCAGTAACATGACAGGGATTATGGGAGAAATAAGTTTAGGTCACGTTATCTAGGAACTTAGTCAATGACATACTTTTTAAAAGACAGAAAACTAATAAAGACAGTAGAACAGTTTTACACGTGTATACTGATTAAGAAATATGTAAGTACTGCAATAAATATAGCAATTTACTTTGAAAAAGGGCTCAAAATGTGCTGAGGACATGGAAGTTGGAAGGACTGCAGCTTGTGAGTGATTTTGGAGTGATCAAAGGAGGGATCTTTAGAATAGAAAGGACAGTGGTAAGAACAGGTGTGGAGGCGTATGGCCTAAAATGCATGTAGTGAATCCACCTAGCTGGCAGATGTTTGAGGGGTGTGTGCATGCTGTGCTGACACCCCCTACCTGTCTGCACCCTCCAGTGTCATCATAGGGAATGCCTGCCGACTAGAGAAAATCAAACTCCTAACCAGAGTTGGCTAGTCTCAATTTGTCTGCAGTGGAAATCTCAACAGGTCATTCAGCCTTCCCTTGTGTGCAAAGTGTTTTGGTCCTGGAAGTTTCTTAGTCAATGGCTAGTTAGAATGATTTTTGCTTCTCAGATTCTGTATTTATTTTTGTGCATTAAGTTTTACCACCAAATCATTGATTTATTACTGAATTTATAATAATGTGAATTAGCCACAAATCCAATCCTGCCAAAAATTATCCACCGTGTATTAAAGAGGGGACTTTTAAAAATATATATATTATATATTTTTATTATTATTATTATTATTCTTTAAGTTCCGGGGTACATGCACAGAATGTGCAGGTTTGTTATATGGTTACACACGTCCCACAGTGGTTTGCCGCATCCATCCCCCTGTCATCTACATTAGGTATTCTCATAACGTTATCCCTCCCCAATCCTCCTGCTATCCCTCTCCTAGGCCCACCCCCCCGACTAAAAAGGGAATTTTAATTAGGCATCTTTAACTAAAGGAATATATGAGAGTTTTGTTGTTTTTTTTTTTATGCAGAAACTGCCCTTGTGGCTTGACTAAAGCTGGCTATAGGGGTGGTGTCAGCCACCTGTATTCAGTTTGGAGACCCTGCTATAGTAGGGTATTAGTAAAACTCTTAGTGAGTGTTTTTATTACGCCATAGGCACTAGGGATATAGATAGACCTTTAAAAGAGTACTTAAAGCCATTAAGTTGCCCAAAACTTAGCTCTGCAAAGATACCCAGTTGTCCTTATTCCTTTTTTGGTCTAACTCTGCCACACATGGCCCTCTGGTTAAGTCAGTTTCATCCAATCTCAAATCCTCCCGTCCTCTGCCTTTTCTGTGGATCCTTCTTTTTTTTATGTGATCTTGTGATCCCTAATTTCATTTCCTCTGTCTCTTCTCTTTCTTTCAGGACTAGTCCTTTAATTCTTTTGTTCTAGTTTGTCAAGTAAAAGCAAGTTCATAGATCCACGGTCAGCATGATTGGCAGCCAATACTGGAGTCACGACTAATACGGGTTTATGTCCTTAGGACATTTCATGTGCAGCTACTATAAGCATACTTAATAGGTACATGTGGCATCTTTATAGCCTAAAAAGTAATTCATTAATCTCTTATCTCCATCAAATAATGAGCACAAATTACATGTTTCCCCTCCCCACCCTTAGGCTGGAAGTAATATATGACCATTGAAGCAGAGTGTCTTAAGAAAAGCAAAGGGGGCCGGGCATGGTGGCTCACGCCTGTAATCCCAGCACTTTGGGAGGCCGAGGTGGGTGGATCACAAGGTCAAGAGATTGAGACCATCCTGGTCAACATGGTGAAACCCCGTCTCTACTAAAAATACAAAAAATTATCTGGGCATGGTGGCGCGTGCCTGTAATCCCAGCTACTCAGGAGGCTGAGGCAGGAGAATTGCTTGAACCCAGGAGGCAGAGGTTGCAGTGAGCCGAGATCGCGCCATTGCACTCCAGCCTGGGTAACAAGAGCGAAACTCCATCTCAAAAAAAAAGCAAAGGGGATTGAAGGATGGGGTGGGAGTCAGCACATGCTCTCCAGCAGAAAAACCCCTTACAAGGAGAAGTCACATATTCACCGAACTGAATCGTCTTTTAAAAGAGCATCAGTTAGTCCAAGTATTTCCTCAGTCTCTGAATACGCACTTGTATCTTGCATTGCCAAATTTAGAATAGTAATAATGCTAACAATATGGACTAATAATTAATTAAATGATGCTCAGAAGAGACTTTTGGTTTTCTTTTTTTTTGCTTTAAAAATCTGGAGGATAGGCATATATATTTTGTAGGTTTCCAGATTCTGGAAATCTTAGTTGATTTGATAACTTGTTATGTTGAGATACGTTGGTAAGTTGATTTAAACCCTGTATATACTACCCCTTCCTTGTTCTATTTTTAAACAGTGTGGAGGATGCTGGGCCTTCAGCGTGGTGGGGGCAGTGGAATCTGCATGTGCGATAAAAGGAAAGCCGCTGGAAGACCTAAGTGTACAGCAGGTCATTGACTGTTCGTATAATAACTATGGCTGCAATGGAGGCTCTACTCTCAATGCTTTGAACTGGTTAGACAAGGTGACTAGTCTCTCAGCCTTTTAAACTCTGTTTTTCCTTTTTTGCTTGTTTACTGTGTAACAATTTGCTCACATATATTAAATAATGTTTCCACATCAGAAATGTAGATGATCAAAGCTTGAAGTAATCAGAATATTTAAAAATGAATCACTTCCAGATGAATCGGTTGTCAAGGAACCAAAAGGGGAGAAATCTGAAGTCTGTCTCCAGAGAAATATTTATATTTGTTTCTTAACTTTTAAAATATGTAAATGCTCTTTTGCATATCTGAATATCTCATAATGCCTCAGAAATATGAAAATATATGATTTTTTTTATTTTCATAGAATTTCTGAATGTTAAGGTTAAAAGGGGCATTAGAAACCAATTTTGCAGCTTTTTTTATTTTTTGAGATGGAGTCTCACTCTGTCGCCCAGGCTGGAGTACAGTGGTGCTATCTCGGCTCACTGTAACCTCCACCTCCTAGGTTCAAGTGATTCTCCTGCTTCACACCCAGCTAGTACATATATATATATATATATATATATGTATGTATTTAGTACAGATGGGGTTTCACCATATTGACCAGGCTGCTCCTGAACTCCTGACCTTGTGATCTGCCTACCTCACCCTCCCAAAGTGCTGTGGATTACACCATACCCAGCCTGTAGCTCTCTTTATAGATGAAGAAATGAGGCCAGGGAGGTGAGATCAGGTTTCCAAGTCAGTTGCACCTTCATTCCCCAGCCTCCTACAGTAGGGCTTTGCTCAATATACCACGGTGTCCCTCAGTGTTCCTAGGACTTACCCTGACAGTGTCCCAGATCCAAAATCAACTGCATGAAATTTGCCAGTGAGGGTGCTATTAGATTCTGTAAAATGTCATCAAGCCAGAGTTTCCCAAACCTGAATCTCTTCCATTATCCATTGATTGCATTTTTAGTTACATATTCCAGGAGCTACACACTATAGACAACAATGGATTGTGAGTCTCCTCCCTTTTATTAGCCTAGAATTCAAAAATGGAGGATTCTGTACAGACAACTATAAAGTATTTGACACATGCTATATGAATGGCATGAAAGTGAAGTGATAGAAACAATGCTTAGCTCGACCATTGCCTGTGTATAAACCACTGGATGGGGTCTGGTTGACAGAAGCAGAATCCCTGGGAGGAAAGTGAGCTGCCCTATTTCATCATCAGGAGAACGATGATAGGACTGATATCAGATCCATGGGGGCGGGTGTCTACAAAAGGATGCTATAAGATAAAGAGAAGTAGGGGAAAAGGAAAGATATTGAATCTAAATGTCTAGGATATCCAGAACAAGCACCTAAAGATTTAGTTTATAATATTAAAAATCCAAAGTATAGTCTTGGGCACAATGCCTAACGCCTGTAATCCCAGTATTTTGGGAGGCCGAGACAGGTAGATTTCTTGAGTCCAGGAGTTTAAGGCCCCCCGGGCAACATAGTGAGACCACCGTCTTTACAAAAAATACTAAAAATCAGTCTGGCATGGTGGCACATACCTGTAATCACAGATACTGGGGAGATGGAGATGGGAAGATCACTGGAGCCCAGGAGGTGGAGATTGCAGTGAACCAAGATACAGCCATTGCACTCCAGCCTTAGTAACAGAACAAGACTCTGTCTCGAAAGAAAAAACAAATAGAAACAGAAAAAGAAAAGAATGCAAAGTATATACACATGATGAAGGTGTGTGAAATTGACCTGTTTTGACACAGTGAAGTAAGTTCTATTTGATTTATAAAACAATTGACAGTAAACATTTTTGGTGATTTTTTTTTTTTAGATGCAAGTAAAACTGGTGAAGGATTCAGAATATCCTTTTAAAGCACAAAATGGTCTGTGCCATTACTTTTCTGGTTCACATTCTGGATTTTCAATCAAAGGTTATTCTGCATATGACTTCAGGTAAAGATCATATTGTATTATGCTTTTCTTTATATATTTTAGATTATGGCCTACTGACTATTTAGTTAATAATTTGATTGAAGGCATCACTGCATACTCTTATTCATTGTAAAACCTACTTTTATCTAGAGAAACTAGCAATTACAATGGAATGTTGTAAATGTTGTTTCTTAATTATAATCTACTTACTTTTCCAAGTGTCATTATAATAGAAATAACAAATTTAAATTCTGTTTAAGGTATAATGTATATGTGTATTTATTTGTTATATTTTATTTATTACACTTATAAATTATAATTAGTGCATAATTACTATTAATATATACCACCTTCATCTTATCTAATTTAGGTGTTATAATACTATTAGCATATTTCAATCTTAACAGCGGGTCTATCCAGAATTGCTTTGTATAGACTCTGCAGCCAATATCAAGCAGGCTACATATCAGGAAGCATATTTTGAATACCCTCTATGTTCTTTGCATTTTTGAAGACATCAGCCGTTTGAAAACTATAACACAAAACTCCAGATTAGAAACAAGAGAGAAGCGTATACTACCGAGGATAAATTATGTGGCACACACTAGAAGCATGATGGGAATGCAGGAGCAGATAAAGACAGGCTGAGGAAAAGGACTTGTGTTGGAATTGAAGAGCAGGGTAACTTTGGATAGTTTCAGGGGAAACAATCATTAAACATGCTTTCAAAATACGTGAAAAGCACAAAGCTGGCTGGGGAATCATCATGACCATTCAATAGAGTGCAAAATAAGTGTTCATGGGTGAAAAGGACAAACAGAGGCCCAACCGACTCCTAGCTTCATTAAGAAAACATTTGATGGGAACTTTGCAGTCTTTTGAAACAGAGGAACTAAATTAAACTTGGATAAGGTAACAGAATGCCCTATGAATTACTGGTCCTGAATATAAAAGAATCCCAGGCGGGTGGATCACAAAGTCAAGAGATCAAAACCATCCTGGTCAACATGGTGAAACCCTGTCTCTACTAAAAATACAAAAAATTAGCTGGGCATGGTGGCGTGTGCCTGTAATCCCAGCTACTCAGGAGGCTGAGGCAGGGGAATTGCCTGAACCCAGGAAGCGGATGTTGTGGTGAGCCGAGATCGCGCCATTGCACTCCAGCCTGGGTAAACGAGAGCGAAACTCCGTCTCAAAAAAAAAGAATCCCTTGATCCAGATGGTATCTACCTATGGGATATGAAAGAAGTCAAGAGTCATATTGCCTCCTTGAACAAAATGTACCTGTTTAAATGAGCCTAAGTGTGCCAGAGAACTGGCAGGTTGTCAACACAGCTCTGGTCTGCACCAAGGGTCCTCAGGGTGACCCTAGGAACCATATACCAGACAGCCTTAATTCCACAGCTGGGAGGCTACATAGGATTTATAAGAAAATGTGCAGGGTCACTGAGCACCTTGGTCAACATCTCCTTTGGGGGTAAACATAATGTGCTTTCTAAAATGAGAAAGTATGCTCTATAAACTGTGAGTTCCTTGAGAGTATAAAGGAAGGATGTGTACAAGAAATACGTAGATTTTGAAAATATCATTAAAAGGGATTAAGGGAATCCCATTTCATGGTAGGAAATTGAAAAACAAATTAAGAAGACACAAAAGAATAATAGGCATTAGTCTGAATTAAGGGAAACAGAATGTAGGAGTTATGGGCAGAGGTCCCAATCAAACTCTCTTGTTTATATTGAAGATTACCTCTAACGGTACATTGCTAAGCTGACAACATTTGACTGCAAGAAGATCTTTCTTTGATTCATTTATTCATTCAAAATATATACTGACTTTTTTTTTAAGTTCTGGGGATTTGGCATAAAACAAAATAGACAAAAACCTTGCCCTCATTAGTGATTGAGACAGACAATCAACAACAAATAAATAAAAATATGTATGACACTTTAGCTTTGATAATTTCCAAAGAGAACAAAAGAAAACAGTGTGAAGGAGAGGAAAGACCCGGTAATAGGAGGAGTATACAATTTGAGAAAGAGTGGCCAGGTAAGGCCTCCCTCACTGAAAACATTGAGTTCAAGTGAAGACTTGAGGAAGTGTGTGGACTTAACCATGCATCTGAGGGAACAATGTTCCCAGCAGAGAGACTTTAAATGCAAAGATAGTGAGGCAGAAACATGTCTGGCATGTTAGAACAATGATGGCGCCACTGTGGCTGTAGTGTGGAGAAGAAAGACAAGACTAGTAGAAGATGAGCTCATACTGTCCCTGTATTAGTCTGTTTTCATGCTGCTGATAAAGACATACCCAAGACTGGGAAGAAGAAGAGGTTTAATTGGACTTATAGTTCCACATGGCTGGGGAGGCCTGAGAATCATGGTGGGAGGCAAAAGGCACTTCTTACTTGGTGGCATCAGGAGAAAATGAGGGAGAAGCTAAAGCTGAATCCCCTGATAAATCAGATCTTGTGAGACTTACTATCATAGCACAGGAAAGACTGGCTCCCATGATTTATTACCTCCGCCTGGGTCCCTCCCACAACATGTGGGAATTCTGGGAGATATATTTGAAGTTGAGACTTGGGAGGGGGCACAGCCAAACCTACCATTCCATCCCTGGTCCCTCCAAATCTCATGTCCTCACATTTCAGAACCAATCATGCCTTCCCAATAGTCCCCCAAAGTTTTAACTCATTTCAGCATTAACCCAAAAATCCACAATCCAAAGTCTTCTCTGAGACAAGCCAAGTCCCTTCTGCTTATGAGCCTGTAAAATCAAAAGCAAGCTCATTACTTCCTAGATACAAAGGGAGTACAGGTATTGGGTAAATACAGCCATTCCAAATGGGAGAAATCGGCTGAAGCAAAGGAGTTACAGGGCCCATGCAACTCCAAAATCCAGCAGGGCAGTCAAATTTTAAAACTCCAAAAGGATCTCCTTTGACTCCAGATCTCACATCCAGGTCATGCTGCTGCAAGAGGTGAGTTCCCATGGTCTTGGGCCGCTCTACCTCTGTCCTTTGCAGAGTACAGCCTCCCTCCTGGCTGCTTTCATGATCTGGCATTAAGTGTCTGTGGCTTTTCCAGGCACATGGTGCAAGCTGTCAGTGGATCTACCATTCTGGGGTGTGGAGGACAGTGGCCCTCTTCTCACAGCTCCTCTAGGCAGTGACCCGGTAGGCACTCTGTGTCGGGGTTCTGACCTCACATTTTTCTTCTGTACTGCACTAGCAGAGGTTCTCCATGAGGGCCCCACCCCTGTAGCAAACTTTTGCCTGGATATCCAGGCATTTCCATTTATCTTATGAAACCTAGGTAGAGGTTCCCAAACTTTAGTCCTTAACTTCTGTGCACCCACAAGCTCAACTCCACATGGAAGTTGCCAAGGCCACAGCCTGAGCTCTGTATTGGCCCCTTTCAGCCATGTCTGGAGCATATGGGACAAAGGGCACTAAGTCCCTAGGCTGCACACAGCACAGGGACCCTGGGCCTGGCCTATGAAACCACTTTTTCCTCCTGAGCCTCTGGGCCTGTGATGGGAGGGACTGCTGTGAAGGTGTCTGACATAACCCGGGGACATTTTCCCCATGGTCTTGGGGGTTAACATTTGGCTCCTTGCTACTTAGGCAAATTTCTGCAGCAGGCTCAAATTTGTCCTCAAAAAATTTGTTTTTCTTTTCTATTGCATCATCAGGATGCAAGTTTTCTGAACTTTTATACTCTGTTTCTCTTTTAAAATGGAATGCTTTTACCAGCACCCAAGTCACCTTTTGAATGCTTTGCTGCTTAGAAATGTCCTCTGCCAGATACCCTAAATAATCTCTCTCAAGTTCAAAGTTCCATCGATCTCTAGGGCAGTACAAAATGCCACCAGTCTCTGCTAAAACACAAGAGTCATCTTTGCTCCCGTCCCACAAATTCCTCATCTCCATCCGAAACCACCTCAGCCTGGACTTTATTGTTCATATCACTATCAGTATTTTGGGCAAAGCCATTCAACAAGTCTCTAGGAGGTTTCAAACTTTCCCACATTTTCCTATCTTCTTCTGAGCCCTGGAAACTGTTCCAGCCTCTGCCTGTTACACAGTTCCAAAGTCACTTCCACATTTTCAGATATCTTCTCAGCAACACCCCGCTCTACTAGTACCAAATTGACTAGTATTAGTCAATTTTCATGCTGCTAATAAAGACATACCCAAGACTGGGAAGAAAAAGAGGTTTCATTGGACTTATAGTGCCACATGGCTAGTAAGGCCTCAGCATAATGATGCAAGGCAAAAGGCATTTCTTATATGGCAGCGGCAGGAGAAACTGAGGAAGAAGCAAAAGGGGAAACCCCTGATAAAACTATAGCTCTCATGAGACTTATTCACTATCATGAGACTGGCATGGCAGAGACTGGCCCCCATAATTCAATTACCACCGCCCCCCGCGCCCCACAGTTTCCTCCCACCACACATGGGAATTCTGGGAGATTCAATTTGAGACTTGGATGGGGACATAGCCAAACCATATCAGTCCCCGAGCCATAGCCTCAGAGCAGAGTATTAGAAGAATGGCCTTGGAGTTGAGAGACTAGGGGTAAATATAGATTAATACTTCTCACAGAGTGAAGAACCCTACACAGTTTTTTATTGGAGAGGAGATAAGAGAGAAGGGAGTCTAGGAGGATTCCAGGCCTTTTGATCTGAATAACTGAAAAATAGAATCACCATTAATTAAACATGAAAGTCTAAGACAGGAACAGATTTAGAAGGAAATAGCAAGAATTAAGTTGGAACATATAGGAAGTGATCCCAGGAAAGACTGGTAGTGGGGCAGGGAAATGAGAGAACTGGAGCAGCAGGGTTTCTTGATTAAGCCAATTATTGCTGTGGCTAACCTTGTGCTTAGTCCTCCTAGGGAACTCTTGGTGGCCAGGGATGAATGTGCACTTCAGTGCTATTCCACCCAAGTTGATGATTGTTGTCTTCCCTGATTCATTAGTTGAGGGTGCAGCTGGGTATAGAGATGGGGACAGGGCTTGCTTTCCTGGTTCTATGAGGGAAAGTCCTCAGGGAAAGAGTTGCAGGATCTCATTGTTGCAAGTTGGGTGAGTGTGCATTGCAGTGGTGACAGAGGATGTGGGAGGGTCTTCCAAAGCATTTGCTATAACTGGGCACAAGACCTGGTCCTTTGTACTTCAATAATATTATTTCCATGTAAGGGGGATGCCTGAGACTCAGGGAGAGCCATACAGCTAGTAAACGGTGAAGTCAGATCAGATCTCATATCTGTTGAACTCCAAAGCTTGTGCTTTTCACTTTTACTCCTAACACTATTGGTAAGTTCATGAGGTCTTAGGTTTCCAGCCAAGTACTCCTTAATACATTGTACAGAACCTGAAAATACCTAAGAAAGGGAAAATCCTCTAAAGCATATAAACATAACCTAATTTTAAAGCAAAATGACCATTCCCACCCAGGGTTCTTCATGAATTTTTGTTTATCAGGCCCCAGAAATTTCAGAACTCAAACTGGAGTATGAGAATGACTATGTAAATAGACAAAAAGGGTAGGAACCTATTACATATAACAATAGTCAGAAAAATTCAGACACAGTATAACACATTGAATTCTAGGGAAGATGAGATGGATATAAATGCACATCTTCAAGTGTCAGTAACAGATCAGACTTGCCTTAATCAGTGCATCTTGATGACAATAAAATTTAGGAAAATTCTTCAAAGACTGTAGGTTTTGGGAATTATTAATCTGTGAAATGAATAGTAAGCTTATGGAATCAATGTTTGATAATATAACCCTTAACAATATACATGTTGATAATAGTTCTATATTTGGGCTAATAGTTGAAATTAAAATGCTGTCTGTAGTATATTTGAACTCCCTAAAAGCTGACATCTTTCTTAAAGACAAATGATAGCAATGCCACTCAATTCTGCTTATGAATGAGGCTTGTCATTTCTGTTTCTTACTTCTAATTTTGATACTTTTTCTTCAGCTCTGGCTCAAATCAGGGATTATTACTAAATTTTTTTTTTTTTTGATTCTGCAGTGTTAGTTACTCTTTGCATTCTAAAAATAGGGGAGGGACAGCAGAGGGTGGGGAGTTGGGGAACGATAGCATGGGGGCAAATGCCAGATATAGGTGATGGGGAGTAAGGCAGCAAATCACACTGCCATGTGTGTACCTATGCAACAATCTTGCATGTCCTTCACATGTACCCCAAAACCTAAAATGCAACAACAACAACAAGAATTTCTTCTTCTTGATCTTTCTGCTTTCCTCCTGGTTTCACTGTAACTGGATCTTTGATGGGATGCACTTCCAGTAATCCTTTTGTTATCTTAAAATGGTAGAGACAGCTGTGTTCCCGTTGCTACAGAGATTATTATATATATCTTACTTAACTCACGAAAGAGTCAAAGAATTTTGATACAATAAGATATACTTTATACACTAAATCCTATGGGGAACAAAATTATTTATTAGATGAGTTAGAAGTTAGGGAAATAAATGACCTATTGTAAACTTGGAGTATAACTTATTTCTGTGCTGGGTATGCTACATAATTTATGTTTTGCAAAATTATGTCCCATAATTTTATCCTAGTATGATAAAATTATATCCATATGATTCCGCATGGTAGGTTGAATGGCTGCAGTACATAGTTGGAATTTGAACCCAGGTGTGGGATAATTAAAAATCTATAACCTATCCTGATGCCTTTTAAAAATTTTATAATTTGACCTGTCTAATCTTAGTTAATATGAACAGTTTTACAGTAGCAAAAATTAGAAATATCTACTTATAAATCTCAAAGAGCAGATATTCATGTTAATATGTAACATGAATAAATGTATAAAATCAATATGTAGTTTCTATTTCAATAAATTACATTATTATGCATTCAACTTTTTCCTCCTCCGTGGACAAAATATTCCCTCTCTAGAAACTGGTCTCCAGCTGGTCATCATGAAAGATTATTTACTCTTTCAAGCCACTAATTCACTGCTGGTTGACTACAGCAGTAAACTACCAAATGCTATCTTAATGGCTTGAACTATTAGGAACTTGGTTTCAGTATCCTTCACCCCCAAAGCTGATCTTTGAAAAATGTAAATAATGATTTTATCACTTACTTGTAAGATCAGTGAAGGACAAATGTTGTGTAATAATGAGACTTTCTGTCCATGTGTGAAAGCAATAACCTGTGTATTTCGCAACCTTTACAGCTAACATCTAGTTGTCCTGGCATCTTAACATTTCTTCTCTTTTTAAAATATTTTGCTTAACATGTTTTCTATTGTAGAGTTATATTAGCCACTTTTGAATAGCCCTTCCCTATAATTTCTATATTTGACAATCACTAACGTAAGTTAGTCTCTTGATTCTCACGGTGTGGCAGAGACGGCAAGATGTCGCCAAATATCCAGTCTTTCCACTTCCCTTACTGAAAGAAGCCCTATCTCTTAACTACTTCCCAGCCAGCTACAGAACTCATTCCCCATCTTCCTTTAAGCTAGACTTAGTCATTTGACTGAGTTCTGGCCAGTGAGATCCATGAAGATATATGTGGAAGTGTTGTGTGTTATTTCTGGGAGTCTTCTCAACAGAGATGTAACACTTCTCCTGTCTATTTCATGCTGTCTTAAATATGTGTTAAATGGCTGGAGTCCCAGCAGCCATCTTGGACCAGGAATGGACCTTGAAAATGGAAACCTTTGTATAGCAGCACAATGATAGAGAAAGAGCTTGGGTTCCTGACATCCTGAAACCCTATCGCAGTCCTAGACTGCCAGTCTCTCCAACTTAGCTTCCATTGTTTAGGTCCTTTGTAACTGCAACCAAACCTACTCAGTCATACACAGATTATATAGATCATTTTTATTTTTACCTTAAAAACTAAATTTTCTAACCAAATATTTCCTTTTTTCATAGTAATCAAGAAGATGAAATGGCAAAAGCCCTTCTTACCTTTGGCCCTTTGGTAGTCATAGTAGATGCAGTGAGCTGGCAAGATTACTTGGGAGGCATTATACAGCATCACTGCTCTAGTGGAGAAGCAAATCATGCAGTTCTCGTAACTGGATTTGATAAAACAGGTAAGTGCTGATAACACTCAGTTGATTGCTTTCCAGCTTGGAGGCTGATTGCAAAATGATCACCTTCCTGTAGAATGTTGAAAATCGGTTCTGCTATGGCTAAGTCCTTATAAGACCTTCACAACTTCTCAACAATCTTAAAAGTATAAATGTCTTGTCAGATTTTACCTATCAGTTTTGGGGTAGATATCTTGTTAAAATGATGATAATTTTGTCATTATAAAACGGTGTGTGGAATATTTAGAATAATTGTTGGAAAAAGGTAAATGCATATTATTTTATCATAGGTACCTAACAATTCTTTTTTCCTTTTTCTGATTCCTTGGAAATGAATGTTTCTTTTCATTTTATGCAGTCGCTGCATTGAGGGAAATGAATTCAAACATCTATTTCTACTGATTGGCGTGTGTCCCTAAGTACTGCTTTGGTTTATTTAGTTAAAATAAAGTAGGTTAGGCTGGGCACGTAATCCCAGCATTGGAAGGCCAAGATCTGCGCATCACTTGAGGTCAGGAGTTCAGGACTAGCCTGGAGAACATGATGAAACTCCATCTCTAGTAGAAATACAAAAAATTAGCCAGGCGTAGTGGTGGATGCCTGTAACCCCAGCTAGTCATTGAATGATCTTATTATCCAATCAGTCAGTCAGGAGGCCGAGGCAGGAGAATCGCTTGATCCAGGAGGCAGAGGTTGCAGTGAGCAGAGATCATGCTCTAGCCTGGGTGTGAGTGAGACTTCTTCTCAAAATAAATAAATAATAAAGTAGTTTAAGTTATCATTACCTTACTTTTCTAATCTTTTTCTTAGAGCTACTATCCTTGTCAAAAATCCAACTTAAAGAAACTTAAGCTTTCATAACAAATTCGAGTTTTCAAGGTTCATTACCATTTATGTTTTCTTGTAGGAAGTACTCCGTATTGGATTGTGCGGAATTCCTGGGGAAGTTCATGGGGAGTAGATGGTTATGCCCGTGTCAAAATGGGAAGTAATGTTTGTGGTAAGTTATGAATTTGTGTTTAAAATCGCAAGATAAATATTCAGGAGCTTATTTGAATACATTAGAGTTGCATATACTCAAACAAGTTTAGCAGTAATAATTTTGTCCTTTAACCAAATGATAAAAATATAGTGTTTTACAAACAGAACTGTTGCAAATATTCGTATTTGAAAAAGGAAGAGGGACCTCAGTAAAAATTGTATTTTACATATATATATCTCAAAACATAAGGTAATAATTTACCAAGGTTACTTTAAAAAATAAATAAACACGCAGCTTAGGAGACTGAGCTCCTGCAGTAATGTCTTCTTGTTCCAAATTTACATTTCATAACTGTGGATTTTTCTTAATTTGTATATTATAATATCTGTTCAATGATTATTGAGAGTTTAAAATATACAAAAACTGAGCGTTAGTATTGTCTGTGACTTCGTACGCCCCTTGCCATCTACAAAATTCTGGCAAGACACCCACTAGAATTGAAAGGCTTAGGCAAATTTCAAACAAGCTTTACTTATGGAATGACAACTTTTTAAATTAACCAACAACCAAACTAAAACAGTTAAGAATTTTAACCATATTATAAAACCCATATTCAAACCTATATTCTAAAACTTTTGGTCTAGAAAGCAACACATATTCTGAATCAAGCTAGACCCAAACTAAATTACATATTAGAGCAATCGTGCCATTTCTCATTATAATTCGTTCTAACATATGTATAATTTTTTAAAATACAGAATCTTCTAGATATAATGAGACTATGTATGTAGTTACAGAAAAGTTTGAAAGTTAATGTTGAATGACTATTATCCAATCATTCCAAAGGCAGAATCAATGAAAGTTAATGAATGATCTATTCTATCACCCTGATGAGACAGTTTTAATAAGTTATTCACTGAAAAAGTGAACATCACGGAAATGTATTAGCCAGAGCACTAGCAACCTCATCAGGCCTCCACTTTTCAGCATCATTGGGGGCTTGTACATCTTTGGAACTTGCAGATAAATTACTGTTGCTAATAATTGAACCCTTGCTGCTGGACATATATTATCTCAGACTGCAGCAGTGGTGGATCCTGGATTTGGGCTGAGGGGTGACTGTTTTCAAACATCTGACAGGAGAGTTAAAATAACATAAATATTGGTTCATAATTGCCTCAATTATAACTGCATCCCTCTCACAACCTTCCTCCATCCCTCAGCTACTAAGGGTGAGTGGAGATAATTTCTGCTCTCTACCTGCATTTATGATGTCAATCTTAAAGGGCATGCCCGGTTATCAATCATACAGGGATTGAAATTCTTCCTGAAACTGAGTATTGCCTGAAAGTTACAATGATGTCATATTACTCTTATGAACAGTGGTATAAGGCAGATAGTAATTCATAGCCACAAGGAATTTCAAAGATATGGTTAGTTACAATGAAAGCCAGTCTTCAGATGGGCTGTTTATTGCTTTTGCCATGATGTTGCAATCTGTGGTCTTGTGTGTTAAGAAAGCATAACCAACTTGTGATTTATTAAAGTTTTGTCCACATTCAAATTTTAGAATTTGAGTTATGAAATTTGTACTTAAAGTAATTCCTGGCCAAGTGCAGTGGCTCACATCTGTAATACCACCACTCTGGGGGGCCGAGGCAGGCAGATCAAAAGGTCAGGAGTTCAAGACAGCCTGATCAACATGATGAAACCCCGTCTCTACTAAATATACAAAAAATTAGCCAGGCATGTTGGTGCGCGCCTGTAATCCCAGCTACTTAGGAGGCTGAGGGAGGAGAATCGCTTGAACCCGGGAGGGATTGGTTGCAGTGAGCTGAGATTGTGCCACTGCACTCCAGCCTGGGCAACTGCGAGACTCTGTCTCAAAATAATAGTAATAATAATTCCTTAAGTTGTTTTGCCTCTAAGAAATAATGTATTAGTTCAATACAGATTCCAAATGCATTCATTTATTCAGTTAACAAGGAGTTTTTGTTGTGGATTTTTTAAATCTTTAAAAGTATTTTAGTTTCTTAAACATATTCGGCATACTTCTAATATGCCTAATACTCTTCTAATGTCTGGTTTTGATGACACCATGTTTACACTGACAGGCCATGATAAGTATTACGTTATTTTCTTAGTAGATAATAACTCTTTCTGAACCCAGGTGAAAAAATGCTTTAATTAACTATTTAAAAAGTATCTAGTGAGGAAATAGACTAATAATTACCCCTTTTTTCCCCTCAGGTATTGCAGATTCAGTTTCTTCTATATTTGTTTGACATGTTGGGCAGATCAAGAGACAACTACAGAAATGAAGGTTTTCATGATGCAGTGTAACATAGCACTTCCAAGCATTACTCAACTTCAAGTTTTAGCAGCTACCTACAAAAGATTCTAAGGCCTGGTAGGATTTAAACTAAGTTACAGAATGTTCCATGCTTGTAGAGAAACTGACACCCAAAGGCAGCTGGAGAGACTCCAGCACAGAAGCCTGCAAGGCAGTCTATGGAACAGTTTCTGACCCTGAGAAAAAAATTCAGATTAGAAGATATTTTAGGCCCCTGCGATTGGGGGAGGCCGTTGTTCATTTTCGTTTGCTTATTATTTATTTGTTTGTTTGTTATATTTCGGGTGGGACCAAAGAGGTCATAAGAATTTATTTTCTTTTGTGGGGTGTAATCACTAGCTTTAGATTACCCCTACACACAAGAAGGGCCAACCTAAAATTATGTGTGCCTTGTACAGTTAGTCATATTAGCAGCCCTCTAAGATGTTGTATTTGAAGGATTTGAAATGCCAATTGCTTTACCTCAACAAATGGTGCTTACCCTTTGAACAGCAGAGTGACCATGTAGAAGGAAGGAAAAAGGCAAAATCTCTTCAGTTAAACTAAAATTAAATGAACTGTAAGACAACTACATAAATTACTTCTAGTAGCATTGCCTGAGAGACAAATTATTATTTGAAAATTTTTATTGTGAATAGGAATCTAATAGATTGGATTCCTTTGTTCTTTTTATACTAGAGAACAAAATATTATCTCACATTTTCTCCCTCCCTTTCTCTTGCTCTTTACCAACTTTTCCTGGCAGTTTGGCTTTCCTCCTCCCCGACTAAAGAAATAAGTCTTGGCCAGGCGCGGTGGCTCAAGCCTGTAATCCCAGCACTTTGTGAGGCCGAGGCAGGTGGATCACGAGGTCAAGACATTGAGACCATCCTGGTCAACATGGTGAAACCTCGTCTCTACTAAAGATACAAAAAATCAGCTGGACATGGTGGTGCGTGCCTGTAATCCCAGCTACCCAGGAGGCTGAGGCAGGAGAATTGCCTGAACCCAGGAGGCGGAGGTTGCGGTGAGCCGAGATCGCGCCATTGCACTCCAGCCTGGGTAACAAGAGCGAAACTCCGTCTCAAAAAAAAAAAAGAAAAGAAATAAGTCTCATTTTTACTTTCCATTTCTATTTTCTTTCTTTTTTTTTTAGATGGAGTCTTACTCTCTCACCCAGGGTGGAGTGCCCTGGTGCGAAATTGGCTCACTGCAACCTCCATCTCTTGGGTTCAGTCTCCCAAGTAGCTGGGACTACAGGTGCGCACCACCACACCCAGCTAATTTTAGTATTTTTAATAGAGACAGAATTTTGCCATATTGGCCAGGCTGGTTGCAAACTCCTGACCTTATGATCTGCCTGCCTCAGGCTCCCAAAATGCTGGGATTACAGGCATGAGCCACCACACCTGGCCTCCATTTCTATTTTCTAACCACTTACTTGACTCCCTTTGTCTCTATACCTTTACCAACATTAGGATCTCACCTCTTTCTCACCCTCCAATTCATAAGCACTACTCCTATCAAAGTCGCATCTCTTAACCCTGGGTATCTGCCAGAATATCAGTTTTGCAGACTCTGTTTTCCAGTTTTCCCCTTAGTTTTCCCGATCTCCCATCCGAACTGCTTGTTTGTGCACCTCTTTTTTTTTCCCTTGGCTCCCAGTCTTAATCCCTGTGATCACTCTTGCATCACTAATTGCGTAAGTGATTTCGGGTGCAATTCTGAGTGGCCTGCATCTGCGCAGTGATCAGTAATCCTGTGTGCCTAGAAGGAATACTGTGTGCTGCTCATGACGTGCAACCGGAAAACAAGCCATGTCTTGTTAGCAGTGTACGAACCTTAGAGCAAAATAGTTGATCTTCTAACTGAATATAAGTACAACCATATTAAATGAGTCAATGCAAGAAAATTATTTCTAATACTTTGTATGTACATATATCTTTTCTAAAATGTATCATACTTTTCTAATGTATATGATCTAACAGAAATGAAATATTAAATGCAGCAGCAACCACAAAAAAAAATCAAGGCCATCTTCTTTTTTCTCTCACTTTTGCCCTTTGTTTATCCTTCTCCATGATTAGACAAAATAAAAAGCAAAATGCTGTATTTCTTTTATTACACCAATCAGAACCAATCCCAAAAGAATGTGTGTGGACTCAGGTTAGAGTTATTCCAGGAAGACAGATATTGACATTTTAATTGACAAATATTCTTATTATCCAGGCATGCCAGAAAAGAACTATGTCCTGTTTGTTCTAGTTTGTGTCCGCTACTGACTTTCTATGTATTATAAATGCATTTCTAATACTCTTTTTCAAGTGCTAAAGGATTTTTAAAATTTCAGAATGATTAATATGTTTGTGCTGTTCTGGATTTCAATGACATTTACAATAAAACAAACTACATTTGACTTCGGTTTAAAAAGAACCTCTTCTTAGGTGTATGGCTTACATTTCATCAACACAGTATTAAAGTGCTTTATATTTACACTGTTTTCTCGGCTCTAAATATAACCAGCTTTTGGTTTTTCTCCCTAGGCACTTTAACCTCAAAAACTCCATTTATCATCCTCCCTAACTTCTCCCAACGCCTCCAACAAAAAGCTCCTTTACCTCTTAGAGCCTCTGTTTTGGTTAACAGAATCAACATTATGGAATCACCCAATCAGTAAAATTAAGACAAATCCTAAATATTTAGACAGGTCATCTATACTTTGGTAACCCATCACCGAATCACCTACCTCCTGTTGCTACTGTTGTTTTTTCAGTTGCATGTTCTTTAGTGTCATTTATCTCCATTATTCAGTAGCCTACTCATTATATTCTACATCCCTAAATCCAGACCGGAAGTCTGGTGACTCAGATCAATGTTCTTACAGTCAGTCTATTTACCGTATTTCCCCTGCATTTACATTTCGCAAAAACATCATCAGTTGTTCTGTTTAAAACCGTTCAAGGGCTCCCAATGGCTGTATGATACCATGCAAGTTCTTTTAAGTGAGCTATCATGAAGAAGCCCCTCTCTACCTTTTTAACCACGATTGCTACTGCGTTGCATAGGTTGATGGCTGTTATGCTCTTGCCCAGCCATAACAAACGACTTGAAGTCCTCACATAATAATTAGAAGTCATAATAAAAGTCATCAATATGTTTCTGGATACGGTTTCACAAAGTTCTCAAAGTTCATACTAAATTAGCCAACCTTACAGTGATTTCCTAACCCATTTAAAAATTATAAAGTGGCTCATCAGCATTAGAGGCAAGTGTGGCTGGGCAAGGGTGGGAACTTGCAGTCTAAATTATTTTGATATTTACATTAAGAATGACTGATACATCCTTTGATAAAACTCTTGCAATTCTAGCGTAGTCACACCAAGAAATACAGGTGTAAAGAACTAAATATGACTGTATAGTCTATGAGATGCTTTAGCTGTGTCTCCCCACCATGTCTCACCTTGAATTGTAATAATCCCCACGTGTCAAGGGCAGGGCCAGGTGGAGATTTGAATCATGAGGGTAGTCTCCCCCATACTATTCTCATGGCAGTGAATTAAGTCTCGTGAGATCCGATGGTTTTACAAATGGGAGTTCCCCTGCACAAGCTCTCTTGCCTGCTGCCATGTGAGATGTGGTTTTGCTTCTCCTTTGCCTTCCACCATGATTGTGAGGCCTCCCCAACCATGCAGAACTGTGAGTCCATTAAGCCTCTTTCCTTTATGAATTATCCAGTCTGGGGTATGTCTTTATTAGCAGCATAAAAACAGACTAATATAACAGGCTAAGAAGGGAGTTATGGTGTTGGCTGGGGTGACTGACCCAGACTGTCAAGATGAAATCAGTCTACTATTCCACAATAGAGGTAACGAAGAGTATGCATGGGACACAGGAGATCCTTTAGGGTGTGTCTCAGTATTGCCATGCCTGTGATAAATGTCGATGGGAAACTATAACAGCCCTATCCTGGCAGACTACAAATGGCCCAGACCCTTCAGGAATAAAGGTTTGGGTCACTTCACCAGGTAAAAAATTGCTACCTCCTGAGGTGCTTGCTGAAGGCAAAGAGAATAAGGAATGGTAGTAGAATAAAGTAGTCACTGATACCAGCTTCAGCTATGTGACCAGTTGCAGAAACAAGGAGGCTAATTGTCACGAGTATTTCCTCCTTATTTTGTTGAGAACATGTTTGCACATATAAAAACTTGTACTAAGAAAATATATTCAAATTATTTCCTTTTGTTTTCCTTTATGATGTGACGTAAGATTTATTGACTTCCTATCATCATTTAAGCATTGTTAACGTTATGTAATAGCATTTGGGTTGGGGATTGGTACACTGCCATTTGTACAAAGATAGCTGTTTTGTGTTAGGTATAATTATGACCTTATTGCCTTTATTTGAAGATTATGTATAATTTCGGGAGATGTGTGTGGGTTCAAGTTGACAAGGAATGGACTTGCAATGATTAATATTGAGTGTTAACTTGATTGGATTGAAGGATGCAAAGTATTGTTCCTGGATATGTTTGTAAGGGTGTTGCCAAAGGAGATTAACATTTGAGTCAGTGGACTGGGAGAGGCAGACCCACCCTCAGCCTGGGTGAGCACAGTCTAATCACCTGCCAGCATGAAAGCAAGCATGGAAAGAACAGACCTGCTGAGTCGTGTGTCCTCCATCTTTCTTCCATGCTGGATGCTTCCTGCCCTGCAACATCAGACTCCCAAGTTCTTCAGATTTTGGACGTTTGGAATTATACCAGAGATTCTCCAGGGGCTCTGAGGCATTCATCCACAGACTGAAGAATACACTATTGGCTTCCCTATTTTTGAGGTTTTGGGACTCAGACTGGCTCCATGGCTTCTCAGCTTGCAGACCTGTCATGGGACTTCACCTTGTGATTGTGTGAGTCAATATTCCTTAATAAACTTCCCTTCATATATACATTTATCCTATTAGTTCTGTCCCTTTGGAGAATCCTAACAGTCTGTTAAAAGAATGATAAACATTGACAAATGCCATTTACACCAATATTCTAAGGCACTTTGGTGATAAAACTATATGTTAATAGATAAAAAAATATCTATTAACATATTTTTTTCCTGAGAAGCAGCAAAGTTTATAAAACAAGTACTTTTATCCCCAGAAAGATAGGAAATTACCTTCAACTTGTGATTGCACCAGATAGTTAATACGTTTGCAGGGCCAGAATTTGCCCTCGAACTTGTTGATTTCAAAGCGAGCACCTTTTAGCCACCATGCGATTTGCCTCTGTATAATGTCAGCTTAGCCACCATCAGATACTGTGCATATACACATACGTGAACACACAACAGTCATGGAGGCAAAAGCAATGATATGTAATTTTGAGACAAACTAGATCATATGATCCTTATTTTAAAAAAAAACTTGCTGCTTGCTAGTGATAATCACTCTAGGTCAAGGTTGACATACAGTTTAGACTTTTTAAATAATATTATGTACTTCCTCCTGTAACAAAAATTTAAGTTTGCCAATAACCTGGCCAAGCTAGAAAAAGAAGACTAAAACTCATGTCTAATCTAAACTCTTAGTCTAATTAATATGTTTTATTAGAAATGAAGTGGGTCACTGTTTAGTCTGTGTCGCATCTTCTTCGATGGAACTGCTGCTTGCACCAACCTCAGTTCTACATGCATTGGAGTTCACTCCACCTCCCAGAACACAGGCATGGGAGCTGGGAAAAAGAGAAGCTTCTCCCTGTGTGAGTTCAGTGGTGCTGGAAACTGGGACTCAGCCTGAGACAGGAACCGTTCTACTACAGGGAAGAATAAAGCCAACACCCACAGAAAAGAGGAGATGAGACAGAAGAGATCCTCTGAGAGTTCCAGGAATATAGCACTCCAGGAACTGAACCCAGTCCGGCGGCATGAGAGTTTCCATGCTCCTCTTTTAAGGCTTTTTGGCCACTGTTCATTTGAATTCTCCAACCTAGTAATTCTCTACTATATCTCCTCTAGACAAACTTCAGATAGATTTCTGTCTTGGTCATTAAGATTCCAAACAAAGACAATTAATGTTTCAAAAACAATTCAGGAAGAAAGACAAATGCTTTATTATTTTTTAAATTTTGTTTGAAAGTCTTTGTACAGAATGACATAGTTTACTGCATAAAATATTTGAAATAGCTGAAGTTTATAAGTTTATAAAATATGAAACAATGAGATAATGATTATATTAAGGAGTTACATTAAGTCTCAGGGGAAATTGAATTTTTAATAGGAAAACACTCTATGTACAGTGTTACTGTTGAAATGAATCATTTCTCTTCTTAATGCTTAGTCTCATCACAAACAAAGGTAATTATTTCCAGAATTAAATGAGAGCACTGTGGTGCTGAATACTATTTATATACATTTATTAAAACTATATGAAAGTTCGCAGAAAATAAAAAATAGACTGAGAAACCGGTATTCTTCATCAGTTTTGCAGATGACTTTAATCTGATTCATCACTGCTGAAGTAGGAGCTATCACAGTATTCAGCTGTATATAGAAATTTGTGAATTATTGGATTCATCTTTGGTATCCAGTGGCGGGGAACCAGGTATGTTGAGAGATTAAATAAATCTACAAACACCTTGTACCTATCACTGGAAAAACACATACATGAAGATGTGTTACATTGGTTGACATGAAATATGTAAAATTTCAATTAGGAAATTTCTTTCTCAGCTATTTTCCATAATAATTAGTATTCAATATTATAATATACATGGTATGTTGTATATATCTTACATTATATTAGGTATTATGTAGTACTAGTTTTATTCCATTTGCAAAGTTTATGCCCATAAACAGTACTATGTGTTTTAGGCCAGTGTGGTTCATATGAAATCTGAGAGTTGTATTGCTGATACCTTCATAAAGGCAAGGATGTGTTCTCATTTCCTGCTTCTAAAAGATGGTGTACAGGGTAATAAATTTAAAGCACACAGAGTTCTTAGATACTCATTTGGAAATATTTCCAAGTGAAAAGTAGCTGCCAAATAACTTCTCTGAAGGGATTAATACATTGAAATGCCATCTTAAGACTAGTAAAAAATGTCTATAGAGTGATTTTAACATTAAAATTGCTTTCGTGTTGTTAGTCACCAATTTTAACTGTTGTGGTTTTATGGAGGAGGAACCTTTGCCTTTGAAGTCAAATAAATCTGGGTTCAAATTCTGGATCTGTCACCTACAATTCAAAGACCTTTGACAAGTTGTTTAAACTTCAATGCCCCAGTTTGTAACTCTGTAAAATGAAAACATCAGTCCTTCCTTTCAGTCAGTTCTTTTTAAAAATGAGACAACACACGGGAAATGTTGTTTGTGTTTATTCCCACCACCCACCGAGGTTTGTGCTCATGTGGTACAGGCAGCTATTGACTGTTTTGTGATTACAGAATTTA